AAATTTGGGATAAACAAATTATTACATTTTAACATTTTATATAATTTATCATTTTTTGAAGTACCTCTGTACCTCTTTGCACAAAAATGATATATATTTAAATAATAATAAACAAACTTTTAATTAAAACACCATTAACAAGAGGAGTCTTCTGTACTTATATATAGAACATTTATATACAAATATTTTATAAATAATAAAGGAAATTATTATTATCACGATCAAACTGTGACATACAACAATCGGATGTAACTGTCAAATTTAATTAATAAATTTCAAGAATTACCGGAGTAACGTGGGAGTGGGGGTGCATTAAAAAACCAACACCTTGCACAGATTGCAATAATAATGAGATCAAGGTGCTCATAAGGACGGACAGATAGGCAGTGCTAAATCGTCAAGTCTTGCCCCGCTTCCTCCAAATCCCCTCAAATATAGAAAGATTTAACAAACAAAAAAACAAAAGCAACTAACCCTACTAATGTTTATTGCTGTGAACAAATATTAATTTTAATAACAGACAGTCATGTGATGAATAATATAGACAGATCATAGAAAATTACATAGTAAATGAACAGTTCTACTGATTTATTATGTGCACCAGAAAGTATGTCTCTGGGTTTCTTATCTATTAATCCCTTGCCACAAGTTTTTTCTCGGATTTAAGTCGGCTAATTGCACAGGCCACATGCACACGTTAAGAGATCTACTATACTTTGTATTACGTAATTATATACAAGTATATTAAAAATAAATATATACATCTATAAATACCTAGCACTAGTTATTTTTGGAATATTAAATGTGATGATGATTATTATGTGTGAGATTGTTTCAAATATTTATTACGAAATACAATATAACATTTCAATTAAAATATAAGAGAGGTAGGGTGTTCGCACTTGGGATACAAAGGTTGCATTTAATGATAGAGTAGTCACTGTTTGGGTGCCTTTGCTTCAAAAACCTGAACATATTTCATTGAAGAGTTTGAGTTACAAACACATTTTAATAAGTCTATTATTTTCCGGTCTGAAAATAACTCAATGTAGATTTGTTTTTTTTTTTTCATACGGAGGTGGTCCTATTCACATTATAAATATCTAAGCACGATTATGTTTATTAAACCTACTCTTTATATCCCTTGAATGCTAACATGTATTTAGAAACTGGAAGTAAGAAATGTACGAATATTTAAAATATTCTACAGTTTAAAATATGATTTGCTTTGTTTTATAATTTAAACAAACGACATATTAGTTTTGAATTCGCTAAATTTAAAAAATATTGAATAGAATAGAGAGTATCATTTCAAGCATTATCTCAAGTTTAGAAAATGTTTATTTCTTTTTTTTCTCTATTTAAACAACACACAACGGTTAAAGCTAAATCCTAACTGATGGGTCCCCTGCCCCTCCGCTGATAATCTCCCCCCACCATTAATTGATAGCTATATGGCTAGTTTGTTGCTGTGCGTGTGTTTCTGATTTTCTGTTTGGGCCAAAGAGACAGACGTGTTGTTTTTTATGACTCTCATATTGACAATGAAAATTATTAGAATGTCGCACGTTTTGGGTGCTGTAATTTCATTAAAACGATGTCGCAACGACCCGCAGCTACATACATACATACTGATATAGCTATGAGGGTTTTCCCGGAATTCGACTGGCACAGGTGACAAACGCGCGATGCGTTTTATGGGCGACTAATTTATAAGCCAAATGGCTGGAAATCAACATACATATTGCTAGAGTAGCACAGACGGCTGATAATACTAAGAGTGGAGTAGAGTAGGGATGGGATGGGCAGGGGAGCATTCCCACGTGGACTGAGAGCAATCACAGCTGCTGCTGACGTTAAAAGGATGCCAAAAAGGATGAGGATGATGATGATGTTGATGTTGACGGCAACTAAAAGTCAAACAAATACCCTTGACTTTGATGCGTTTCGGGCCTCACAAATATTTGCACAAATCTATCGTGTTAGCGGGCGGAAGTGCACCAACAGCAACAACAACAACAACAACAACATCAATAATAACAACAAATACAGCTGTATTGTTTTTGTTGTGGTGTGGCGATGTCGATAAACAAAACTGGGAAATGGTTGCTGAGCAAATGAAGTTGCAGTTGAGTTCGAATTCGACTTTTTTTCTGTTTTCTTTTTCTACTTTTTGTGCGTGTGTGTGTGTGTGTGTGTGTGTGTGTGTGTGTGTGTGTGTGTGTGTGTGTGTGGAAAACTTGTGCGGCTTCTGTGCTGAGCCTGTGAACCTGTTTGACTCTGAAACCATGAATGAACGACAGCCGCGACTCCAGCCCAGCCGTATTGTCACTGTCAATAAAGAAATGCACTCAAGGTAACTTCCTACTTGGCGCATATCGTATTTCAGCACAACCTCTTCTTCTTTCGTTCGTTCATTCGTCCGTTGGTTCTTTCTTTCGTTCTTGCAGATTATTGCCTTGTACCGCTACAATAGCTCTACTCTCCACTCGCCTACTTGTGGGGACCTCACCATCACCCAAGTTGAGGGCCAAAGCCAGTCAACTACCGCAGACCGACTTTGTTGGCCATCCCATTCCGACATTTAGCGGTCAGCAGCAAATCAAAATGGCGGGCGTTATGGTGTTATGGTCAGCAGACAGGCAACGAATGTTGTGAGAATTTCCAATATTGATTGATTGAGCGGAGAGATGATGGAACAAAGACAGCTGTGATGCAAGCGAAGGGAAAAGTAAGTTGGAGTGGGAAAAACGCCAGATGTCAAGGCTAAGGAATATACTCGTAGGTTGCTCCTCCAGTCGGAATATTCCAAGTCGTTTAGCTAACCAATAGTTTCAGAAACTTACAAGCTTCATTGCTGCACTGAATTTTCAATCTTTTTAAATTAGTTTGTGAAATCGAATTTCGAACAACAATTGTATTTTATTTAAAAACACATACATGAAAACAATTTTAATAACAAAATAGCTACATAAGGCTCTGTCCCGTTGATGCAGGATTTGTAAATTTGTATAAAAACTGTTTTGTAATCTTTAGGCCCAAACAAAACCAGTACCTTTATATATCCATCAACATTTTTCTTGTGAAAATAAATCCGAAATGGAATTAAGCCAAAACAAGAACCAGAACAAAACCCGTATGGGTGTTTATTTTACGAATTTCCATACTTCCCCACTTTAGTCAGACTTATTCAGTGAGGCTGCAGTCTTAGGACTTGCAAGTATAACTAATAAATTTTCCTTTATAATTTAACGTAACTTTATTTAGTATTGCCAGTTTTTTTATTCTGAAGTTTAATCTTAATCAATGCATTATATCATATAGCTGCCATAGGAATGACGCTACAGTAGTTAGGTTTGATACCAAAAACTTATTTGCTCATAAAAATATTGTAAGTTAAGTATTTAGATCTTTTCATCGAGTGCCTCACACACACACACCATATAATCTAAAAGTTCATCAAATCCGCTTCACTACATCACATAGCTATGATAGAAAATATCGCTGCAAAAAACAATCTTAGTTCTGACAACATTTCTATTTATTTCCAAGTTGAGTCATTTTTAGTGTCTTACTATGATCCGAAGTTTTATCAAACGCGGCTAACTATGTATGTACTTGTATATCATAAAGTCTGATATGATCTGGTATTTACGAGTTTATAATGACTCATGGTGTTCTGAAGTATTATAGAGCTAAAAAGGTTTTGTTTAATGCGATTTTTTAACCAAATTTGAAATTAAGGAGTTTTTTATAATAAAGTTGCATCACAATCGGTGCACTAAAAAGCTGTTATATTTTTATATAATTATAAATTTACTAATCATAAATGTTCGCTATAATCTTTTTTATTATTAAAATCGGTTAACTATGTAATGTAAGATGAAAAGAGGGAGCGAAGAGTGCTTTCAAGAGTCAGACTGGCCGTTCCATAGTAGATTTGTTTTTTCTTTTTAGCACTTGCAGACTCGAGGGATTGGAAATCCCAATAAACATTCGAAAAACAACACAAATTTAGTACCGTCAGTTGTTTGTTTTGTTTTCTGTTTTTATTTTTCTTGAGTGCTTCACAGGACACTCGGCAGTGACTTTTTTGGCCGCCGGCAACTCCCCGGGGGCGAGACAATTGCGCCGAGGCGCCCAGATTGATGGCAGCATTTATTGTGACAAACACTAACTAGTGGTTTCACGCGCCCCGATTCCCCTCTTGGCACTCACCATAGACTGAACAATTAGCAGTTCCCGAAAAACGGAAACAATTTGTTGACAACTAAAAACAGAGCGAGGGGCCCTAGGGAGCATCTCGCTTGGCGCGCAGTGCTCGAGAAAGAGAGCGGGGAATACTTATTAATAAAATAATTAATTGTGTGAAGCACTTTTGGGAGCAAACAATGCAAGCTGTGCAGCCCATCTTCGGCATAATTATGCCATATATTGCTTTACTTCCCACAGGTTTTGTGTTACTCACTAAAAATTTTCTGCACTTTCTGTGTAATTCAAGCGAAAATTTTTAACCAAACTGAAAAACTGAAAAATATAAACAGAAACCCTGCCGGGTGAGGCAATGCCTGGCAGCCACCGCCATGTTTGAATTCGAGTCGGCAACATGTTTACATAAAACGGACTTGGTTTACAATTTTTTTAAATTTTTATTTCATTTTATTAAATTAAATGCATCACGCCGCATTTTTCTGCTGATTTAGTAGAAAACCAAATCAGAGCTAAGCACTCGAATCTCTATGACTTCGTGATACCCTCTGTCTAATGAAATATTATGATTATATTTAAAATTTATTTTTAAGAACTACACAATTCCGAAAAGACTCCAAACGCCAAAGCACATCCATGAGAAATGTCATTTAAACTTGCTTCCATTTCTGGTCGTCTCCGTTGCACAATTTCGAACGCTGTTCCTTTCGAGTGCAGGGTATTAGAAGGCAAACATGAAATGATATTTGGAATGCGCCTCGTTGGCTGCTTACGACGAAATTGGAGCGCACCTAGTCCTCTGCATAGGGTTTGTAGCTGACAATCTGGCGCGCCAATATGTTGAGAATATCGTGAGCGGGCAAATCTTGCTGCTCCCTAATGATGGCCGTAATTCGCGCACACTCTTTCACATAATTCTCGAGCTCGCGGGCATTGAGAGCGCGACGCGCCGGCTCCTTGGCCTGCAGCGCCTGCAGACACTGGCCGGTCATGTGCGCCAGCTGCGAGCGTGCCGGACTGAAGGTCTCGTCCAGATCGTAGAGCTCTAGTGGCGGTGCGGGGGGCTCGCTAAAAATGGGCGGAAAGGTGGCCAACTGCAGGGGCGGCAGGGGAATCTCAAACTGCGGCTTTATGATGCGAAGCGGCTCGTATTTAACATTCAGCTTCTCATATGTCTCAATGACATCCTTCAGCAGACGATTGCTCAAGGACCACAAGGTCATGTCGAACATATCCTTAAAATCCGTGGGCATACTCGTACCAATGGAGTCGACCAGACAGGCCTTGGGCTGATTGGCCAGAAATGCCAGATCCGTAAAATGCTTGTTGTCATTGAGCTGCAAGGGAGTGCATTCTAAGGACAATTTTAAGGGCGAAATATGAACAGACGGCCCACCTCCACATCATTGAAATCCAAGTGTGTGTAGTTTATCTCGCCTGTGGCCAACAGCTGCAGGCTATACTCCAAGATGGCGTCGTTGGTCTTGTCCGCTTGCAAATACTTGTCGTGCCACATATAGCCAGAGCCCAGAGCCAATATCTTTCCACCCTCCGGGTGTCTGTAGTAGCCGGCTAAAGGCCGATTGAACGGATAAACCACGGGGCCCGTAGTGCTGCAACGAATACAAGTATATAGAAATTATAAGTGGTTTTCCCTGCTCTTCTAGACGTTAATTTTCTGTTATTTACAGCAACACATTGGCCGGCTCCGAGACATTCAGCGTGGCTCCATAGGGATACTGAAAATGTATTTTGTATTTCTCATCGCTAAAATCATAGTCCACCTTCTCAATGTCCTGTTTAATCAAATGCCGCCACATGGATTCACAAACCACGCCGCCACCCACAATGCACTCTTTCGGATGGAAATTCTTGTAGTAGTGCGGCCTAATAACATTATCACTGTTGATATAGATGCCATATTGCTCCAGAAAGAAGTTAACATTCGTGTTAAACTCCTGCTCGCCGCCTTCCCCAAGCAGCACCAATAAGCTGCCACCCTCCTGCTCGACAAAATGCTTCAACACCTCGAACTCCTCCTCCGTGAAACGATCCTGTGGCCCGGCTAGCACAAAGATCTTCACGCGTGACAAACGCTCCTTGTTCAGCTCAGCATCGTTTCTATTACAGTGTCAGAGAGTGGATGTGCAAATTATTTATTAATTACATTTAAATAATTGCTTACTGCTCCACATTCCAGTTGGTCTTGAGTTTCCGATGCAGCATTTTGTAGTTGTCCATAATTTGAAAACGTTCATTTTTCGATATGTCAAAGCAAATTAACTGTTTAGCACTCATTTTGGTTAGTTGCTTTTATTTTTTATGTGGTTTTTACAGCAGTTTCATTTAATTTCCGCCGCTATTACTCTTTTGTTTACATTTTTGTACGTTACTACTGGCAACTGCCAAAGCTAACCTTTTTGAACTGTGTGGCAGCACCACAGGCGCAGTGACCTCATTCTTGTACGTTAAACCGTCAACTGCTGCTGTATACCTTTTGCAGCCATGTGGCAGCACCAAGCACACACTGCGTTCACGTGCACACATCGTTTAGTGCTGTACAGCTGTATTAGTGATGGACAAGAAAACGTATGAAATAATATAATTTAATACGATAATAACTCGTGACACGGTAACGATTACATAATTGGTCGCCCATCACTAACGGATATCTTTCGCTGCAGACAAAATTACCTAAGCGGTAGAAGTTTCGTTCATTATTAGTTCCCCGCTAAATAAGACCAACAAATTTTTGCAAAACGAACAATGGCTTCGATCTGTGGACGCATGGCGCTCCGTGCCGCTGCACGCCAGAACGTTACATACACGCCCGTGCGCTTCTGCAAAAGTAAGTGAAAAACCCTCCTGGAAGAGAATTGGATTTTGGTGGTCACGTCCGCCTTCAGATGCAGATTCGAAAGTTCTCAACACCCAGACTTACATAAGGATTAGTGTTTAATAACAATGTACAACAACATCAACATCGTTGCATTACAAGCGCATGTGAATTATGGCAGGAAAAAAGTTCAATCCGCGAGGTTATGTAATAACTATGCGCAACGCAATGTGTTTTTGCAATGATTGCTAACGGGTGTCAGGAGGGGGTGAATCAACAGTGCGTATTTAACACTTCTATCGTCATAAGCCTATAGATTATGGCTGCATATACAGACGATAGCTGTGCAAAGTTATTTGGGCGCGCGTCGAGTTTATGTAACCAAAGTGACGACGCACAGCTGATTAACAACAACAACAACAATCTCTCTTGCAGTGATGAACGACCCCTTGGAGCACGCCACGGGTATTGAGAAGCGCGAGCTGCTAGCCAAAGCCGCCGGCAACGATAATCCTTTCGACATGAAGGTGTTCAAACGCGGTGCTGGCACCAAGGAGAATCCCAATTTGATTCCATCTGCCTTCGAAGCACGTATTGTGGGCTGCATCTGTAAGTAGCACACACGTTTATATCCCTGTTATTACCATTTATCTCGTCATTATGTTCAATGTTCCATTTAGGCGAGGAGGACCAGACCTATGTTCAATGGATGTGGCTGCAGAAGGGCAACCAGAAACGTTGTGAATGCGGCCACTGGTTCAAGCTGGTGGAGAAAGCAGCTGTTTAAAGTTATTATTAATTAATTAAAATAAATCAATTAATTAAACAAAGAACACAACCACAACTACTAAGCTAAAAGTCAACAAGTTAGCTATCCAAATAAAAAGAAACACAACATCAACCCAAAAACCACAAAAGTCGAAACGATATGCAATTCTAAATGGGATGCCACGCCTCCAATTAGTTTTTTGATTTTCATTCACTCCGACTCCGCCATCATCGCTGGAACATAAAGATTTATGATTACCTCGATCTGCATTGTTTGATGGATGGACAGATTATTGTAGATTGCAATTACATACTTAATTTAGTTTATAACCAATAAAGTCGAACGAAATGTTGCGAGTGATGATTGAAATCGGTGGCGTATTTCAATATTTTAAAACGCATTTCAGTTTTATTGGTAATGTAGAATTCATGTTCATATCTCTTAAATTTGCAAGTCAGCTTGTCAGCCATTTGGTAGTTTTCTCCTTACTCTAAAAGTGTTTGTATTAAGCTCTTATGTTTCATCAGTGTTAACCGGTTTTTGTGTGCCCATTAGGTGTCAAATCATACTTCAACAGGCACTTCGTTATTGTCAGCAGTTTTATCAAATAATAATATGCATTATTAATTTAGAATGTTTAATTAAAGTTAAAATTACTAATTATATGTTTCTAGCTGGCAGGGTCTTCAGCTTGCACATTGGTAACTTAAATTGTGTTGCACAAATTTGATTAATTTTTTAAACTTTATAATCAATTCTGCATTATCTAAAGAAGGATATGGCATCTGTGTCTGTGGTATAATAGCTTTAAACAGCTATACAAGTATGTACACCTGTAACTACTGTGTGAGGTCTGTTCCTATTTCCCAACTCAATCAAATACGGCGGCAGTGGAATTTCAAATAACTGATTTATTTAGTTTTAAAAATATTGTTCAGCAGCTAATCATCCATTAGCTTCCTTTTAATTTAAATTTAACCTATTCTAACCTAATCTTTTTTCAGTTTCTTGTTTAAGTTAAAAGCGAGTACTTCATGATCATATTTAGTAATATAGATCGAGTAATGTAGATACGAGTTCCATTTATTTTCAGAAAACTAAGCGGTTTAAGGGTCAAGATCTGAGTTTGAGATGGAATTCTAAAAGTATTAGGTCTATAGTATCCCGGGATTAATATCATGGTTTTTAAGGTATGGGGCGATGCTATAGTAAATGATTCCCAATATCAAAAAGAAAATCAAAATAAAACGAAAAATATATATAAATTGTGATAATTAAGCAAATAGAACCAACAGAGATGTTTGAAATAATCGAAAAAGGTTTTTAAGGAGCGCTTGAGGGTTTTTTCGTTTAAATAAAAGATGCATCTTTTCAAATTTCTTTCAGAACCCATAACAATTTTTGGTAAACTAAAAAACTTTCAAAACAAATGTGAAATCGAAATATTTTCCTTAATTTTGTACAGCAGGCCTTGAGGTTACAACTAAGATCAGTTGGGCCTCAGAAATTCATTCTATTTCTATACTTTCGTCGGAGCACTGCTTCTGAACAAAAAACAAAATATAATTGTTTTTCAAAAATTTCTGCTCGCACCGAAAGAGAGCTGGAGTTCCAAAAACAGTTTTATTAGTTCCTAACTAATCTCTGAACTTTGCTGAAGTCCTCTTGGAGAGCATGTCCTCGTATATATCGCGGCTGCTGCGTACTCCGGCTGCCTCGAAGCGTCTGATTTCTCAGTTGACGGAACGCGGAGGCAAAAACAGGTTCAGTTTATTGCTGCAACGTCTGGGTCTGGGGAAATGGGCGAACGGAGTATCTGGCGTCGGGCCTCGAGCCATTTCAACTACACCGGTGTGTAAGGCGGGTAAGTAAAGAGGTTCTTTGTTGAGTTATCAGTAAAAGCCAACATTGAGTTGCCCAGAAATGGCCGATGATATTGAACTGGCCACGGGCATAGCCAAGCGCGAGATGCTGTTGCGTGAGCAAGGATGCTCCGATCCCTGGTCCATGGTGAAGGGCATACGACGTGGTGCCGGGCGGGAGAACGATCCCACTCCCATACCGTCGGCCTTCGATGGACGCCTGGTTGGGTGTGTCTGTCTGGGCGATCGCTTTGTTAAGTGGATGTGGCTGGAGAAGGGCAATCCGAAACGTTGCGAGTGTGGACACTATTTTGTGCTGAAAAAGGTGCCACCCGTTTAAAGGACATGTTGCGCTTTGGAGCGCCAAGGGACGCTGTACTTAACACTTGAGTTCCATCACACAACCTCACACATTCGTTTAGACTATTAACTGACCTAAACACGATTTTTAACTGATCTGATTTACACCTAAAATGTATAAAACATTGCATGATATTATCCGGAGACTAACATAAAAGAAAGACGACATTTATGAGTATGGTTTCTTTATTCCTGAGTCTTCTCTGCACTGCTCAGCGTATAGCCCGTCAACAGATATCCGCTATTGCCGCTCATATTGACCTCCGGATGGGTGCGATTGGGCAGTATTTGGTACATTCGCATCCAATTGGAGGTCAAATGCAGATTCGTAACCTTGCCAGAGGTCTTCAGCTCCATGTAGGTTTCCAGGAGCAGTTCCTTGCACGTGCTGAAGATAACTATGGGCCGCGACGAATTCAGGAGCGGCAGTAGTGCCTGCAATATGCTCGAGGGATGCTCCTTGGCCGCCATCACTAGGCAATCGAATTTGGCATGCATTAGAGCGCAGGCGCGTTTGTTTTCCAGCTGCCAGCGCAAGGGGGATCTATTTGCTGAATAGAAGAAAGAGATCGGGTTAGCAAGGAGTTCAGTTCATTTAGATCCACGACTATTGGAAATAAGTGGCAAGTGATTTCTAAAATTATTGGTGTATTAAAACATTAGGTAGTGATTTGGAAATATCAGAAAAAATCTAGAAACAGTTCATTAAAGGTGGCTAGCTCTTCACTCAGTAAAAAACTGTTCCAGGACTTAATAGAACATTTATATAAGAAGTTCAAACAAACTGTGAAAACCCAGTTGGGAATTTCAGCTAGCTGTTGTCTCCATTCATAAATTGATTAGAAAATGGCCCGAATTCCAGGTAAATCAGTCTAGAATTTGCTTATTCCTACTTTGTAATATACTTCTGAGAGCTAAATACTGAAACTATGAAACTATCTGTATAATCATTTAGCCCTAAAACACAATTGTTTACTCAAATTTGGGTTGACGATTTAGTTGTTGGATATTTTAGGATTGCTTTGAAACTCTTCGGACCAATATATTTAGAATTTACGGAAAGTTTATGGTTGAAGTTTGGGATTTTATCAGCAAAGGCACAGCTGGGATTTATGTAGTAGGGACATATTCTTCTTAAGATCAAAATAATATTTCGAGTACAGTGTTTAAACAAATAGATTCGCGTTCGCTGCACCTTATTGAATAAGAATTTATTATCTGGACGCCCTCTGTTTGGAAGATTGCTACTTACTACATTCGGATTCATCCAGCTTGGGCTTCTTGCTGGTGGGTTCTGTGGGTGAATTTGGTTCCGTCGCCAGTGACTCTGGTACTGCGTCCTCTAAGCTGGACGATTCACCAGCTATGGGTGGCAGCGCCTCACCCTGATAGAATTCACGGAGCACGGAATACAAGTTGACGGATATGCAACGCTGCTGCTGCTCCAGCGGCAGTTTAAGGGCCAACAGCGCCTGCTTTTGCGGCACATTTCCCGGATGCATGTGCACCAGGGTGGCCTCCGTGGCTGCGCCAATGGAATTGAGCATGGCAGCGGGCAACAGACCATTGGTGCCGCTCTCGTAGAGCAAATAATTGCCAAAGCCGCACACGCCCGAATAGCTTATGATTTGGGAAAGCGTGTCCACGCGTATGCCCATCACCTTCTCTGCATCCTGGCGATAGAATATGTCGGCCATAAGACGTATGCTGGGCAGGCGTATCTGCACAAATTCAAAGTACTTTTTCTCCTTTTTCTTCAGATACTTCTCCTGCGAGTATTCTGTGCGTGTGTGAAAGGTCTTCGAGTTCTCCACAAGCTTTTCAATAATTTTGCTGCTCTCGTTGCACTCCTCTCGCAGCTGCTCAATGTCCTCTGACTTCAGAGCCTGCGCCTCTCCATTATCGCATATATCCCGATTGTCCTCGCCGCTACTCGATATCCCCAGCACTGCCCGAATGTCTCGCAACTCAGTCTCGCTGCACAGCTTCAGTGTGTGTTGGCGTTGGGCGCCACGCTTGCCCGCCTTCGACTCCTTCACACACATCTTGAACGTGGAGCCGTAGGGCTGGTCAAGGAGCGCATTTAGCTCCAATTGTTCCTTCCCCAGCTGTGCCGTTGCATCGATGTTGCCAAACTTCTGAAGTTTCGTGTACTTCTGTCGCTGTATGATGATATAATCCCCCAGCTGGATGTTCGGTGTAGCCATTTCTTTTGGTTTAATCCTCCAAGTGCTGTAAAGAAAATTCCGCACCCACGTTGTTTACAAAAGTGCCGCCGCAAGAAGCAGCACGTCTACAACTTAGTGATGGTTGTATATAAAGTTCAGTTAATGCCAAGCTCGTGACCGACTTTTTCACGAACAGGCAAAGAAGCGTTAGCCGTGGCTCTTATTTTCCTTAGGATTCCTTTTTTGGCATACTTTTTATTGTCTATTACGATCTCCTGTTCTTTCAAATCTAAAATACAATTGAAAACAAACTATAGTTGAAAAGATTGTAGAAATTAAAAACGAAGTGTATTCGTGAGCGTTTTAAGTCTTTATCCCATCACTAGTTGGAGCAAGTTGCCAGATGTTGCGAATTTGTATGTTAACTACTACCTGTTGCGTCAGTTTTTCATTCAAAATAGATTTAGACTCATTTGATTCATTTAGACTGCAAAATACTGCGATAATTAATAATCCCAGCTTAAGCAAAGTAAATATGTATATCTAAACAATTAATATTAAAACAATTATTAAAGTAGACGTATTAAAATGTATGCTTCAAATTGGAATTTCCTTAACGACGCGGTTTCTATTTTGGGTTTCGGATCTTCTATTTACTTTTTCTCAGAGCATAATAATTGTATGTCTTAAAATGGAAATAATTCAAGCTTACAAATAGTTTTAGCATCGAAATGTTTTTCAACTTTAAATCAAAATACTTAACTTTTTTATTTTTAGCCAAAACTCAAAAAAAGGTCAAATACATAATCCATTGGTCTATATTTACAAATTTTTTTTAAACAAAACTTTAACGTTTACAATTATCTAATAATTTGTTAACTACTTATTAGATTGGTAAAAACACAGAACGTCTACTTGTAAGGGTCAAAAATAGTAATGGGAATGTACACATGCAAAGTCTCAAACTACAATCAAGCTCGAAAACTAACTGCCAAGCATTCCTTTATTGTGAAAATATATATTTAACGATCAGCGTTTCTGTTGACTCCAAATATAGTATGTCCTCCTGTGGATCATTTACTTTACACAGCTGTTGCAGCTGCTCCGCCACAAAGGGGATGCTGCTCTTAACGAAGCGTAAATTCTTTGGAATTGACAGCAGGCCCGACATTACAGATTTGCGTGTCTCAGCTAGCGTCTGCTCAAGCTTCGTTTCCGATATAAGATGTGAATCATAAACTGTCAATTCCTCCAGTTTTGGCAATTTTGCAGCCAAATGTAAACCAAAATTACGTGCATCGCTTATGCATAATTCCTTCAACGGCAGAACACTAAATGGTACCTTCAAGATCAAATTCTCGACATTGTGACGATTTCCAATTATTTTCAATTGTTGTAATTGTTTTAAAGTGTACAATAGTTCAAGCAAATAGTTTTCCTCGATGGAGCAGGAGTGCAAACGTAATGTCTTCAGCTTGGACATCGTATATATGAACTTTCCGGTAATATATCTGCCTGTAACATCTAAGACATGTAACTCCGGGCAAAAGCTGGATAGTGTGCGTATCATGCTATCGTTTATCTTATCGTCCTCACAGTGAAATTCTCTCAAATTACAAAAGTTCAGACGTAGATAGAACGCCAGTTCCGGACGCAATAGATGGCGGCCAAGATATGAACTGAATGCCCTGGAAAAGATTTCGCCTATATGCAGCTCCTTCATGGCGGGACTGATTTGCTCCAGAAAATATTGATAGTCCTCCTTACTAAGTGCCCTCAGACAATCATCTTGTGTCCGAAAGTTCCGGTACTTATCTTTCCTCCATTCTGTGGAACACAAGGCGTCCAAAAATGTATTGGAGACGCGCGACATGGTAATCTGATCCTGGAGTGTAAGATAGTGCGCTATAGATGCAATGCAGTCACTGTTAAGCCGATCCATGTTGTTTTAAATGCAAGAGTATTTACAAAATTATAAAACAAAAAAAAACATAAAACAACAAACGCAGTGAGTAATAAAAACAAACACAGCTGTTTTTAGTGATGCCATATTTTGAACAGATCCATAACTGCTTGCACTGCTTATTGCGCTGAACTGCTTTACAACTGAACTGTTTGTGGGTTGCTTGCAAGTACGTTACCTCCTGCTTTAAAGCTAGGTACACACGATGCAAACAATTTGCAGCAAGTTAAAAATAATTTGCAGCAAAAGTTTGCACAAATGTTTACACCTATGCAAATATTGCATGAAAATTTCTTGCTTCAATCAATTTTTGTTTTGCATGCAAACTTTTGCATGGCTATTTCGTGCAATATATTGCGTCAATGTCTACACGTGTTTTCATTTCTTGTTTGCAGTGCTTGCAAGTGACACTCATTTGCAAGTTCTGTTGTTTTGTGAAAGTCAAGGAATAACGACGTGTTTATATCAGCGGTGGACACGAAATGTTAAATCGGGAGCATATATAAAATAAGTAATTACTACGATATGTGCAATAAATTGTACTACTTACCAAATTTTGAATTTTATAATTATTTCCGTCGTCATTTTTAATAAATTTAAGCGCATCGAAAAACTGCTGGTATAGTTGTCCGATGTACCCTGGCCGCTCTTTTTATAGCCTGTACCCAAAGGGTGAAAGGCTATACTAGTTTTGTGCGCATGTATGTAACACACAGAAGGAGGCGTGGCAGACCCCACAAAGTATATATATTCTTGATCAGGATGAGAAGCAGAGTGGATATAGCCTTGTCCGTCCGTCCGTCTGTCTGTCCGTATGAACGCAAGGATCTCAGAAAGTATAAGAGCTAGAATAACCAAACTTGGTTTCCATATTCTCCTAAGACCGAGAAAGTACGAGTTTGAGTTTTTTTTTCGATGCATTTCATTTTTCAGCAATTTCGCGATAAGCATTTTGCTTTTTATGCTTATTTTTATATTCTGCTGCCGAGACATCCCATAAAACAGAATAATTCTCGTAAAATTCAATTAATTTTATCGTTTCCTCGCGATCCCACATGTTGCTTTGCTTGCTGCAATATTGCGACTGAAAGCAAACAGCACATGCAAACAAGCAAGCAACTGACGCAACCAAGATAACGGTAAAATAATGTATACAGACGACAAGCAAAAAATATTGCTGCAAAAAAATTTTGCAAGTTCTTTGTTTGCAGCAAAATGGTTGCACTCGTGTTTATACGTGCAAATTTGATTGCAGCAATCAACTTGCTGCAAATTGTTTGCATCGTGTGTACCTAGCTTTAAGCGCTGTAAGCGCTTAAGGATAATTCTCCTCGGTTACCTGATAGGCCTTCAGGTGGGTCGACCAAGCTCTCAAAAATCCCAATAAAGTTTTTGTAATCGGAATAGATGGAGGTTGCCGGCTATGAGATGGTCCACTCATTGTGGAATTGGCTAGACTATCCCTATGGATAGTCTGCTCATGAGCAATGCCTTTGCAGAGACGCACAGATTTTTTAAGGCTGCTCTAGAAGCTAGAGAAGGATTTATGTTGTCGAGCTCTTCCTGTATTTTGAATGCCTTTTCTATATACATATTCAAAATTTCTAGCCTGCACTCAACCTCGAACGGTTCGATGACTGGGATACTCTGAATGGAGCGTTTAATGCGTCCAATGTCGCGAACCACATTATCATGCGACTGTAGCCAGCAGTCGGCTTTACTAGAATTAGACGCGTCTAATTCTCTGCTCTGTACTTGCTTGCACCTTTTACTAGGCATGTTGATTCTTTATTATTTAAAGCGGTGTATAGGTAAACTTTAATAACAGCTGGCGATTATCAAGTCTAACGCTAATATACCAATGGACAGGTACAATGGCTAGTGTATTAGACCGGCACGCCTTGAGTTAGCTGCCTACAAATGTGGACAAACTCAAACGTGTGCCTAATACATTTGGCCGGCACTGTTGTATTAGGTAGCGCAGCTGATCGAAGCAAAGCAAACACAAGTTCAATAACTCGAATTAATATTTGGGTTATCAAACGTTTGCAACGCAGCTACAATAGAATAAATATTCGGCAGCGACGAAGGCGCTAGCAGAACAAAGATCGACGGCTGGCGAGAAAGCGAGAAAGCGAGAAAGCGCACAATCAGCAAGTGCGAAGATAATCGCTGCAAATTCAATGTCGCTAGACGACGCATGATTGCTTGTTGCTTTGTGTGTGCCTATTTACAGCTGTAACCGTTTGCAGACCGAGCTGCAACGACGGACAGTTGACACAAGTACCAAAGGAAAAGGCAACGGCAAATTGGTAAAGCGCAAAAGTCACAGTCCACCTTGCAGAAAATAAGCGCAGTTATACATACATATGTATATGTACATATGTATGTATGTATGTATGTATGTTTGTCGCTTTGCAATTGGCATTTATTTATTTATGCACAAGCCGACAATGTACACTTATGTACTATATGTATGTATGTGGCCGAAACTCAATTTGTATTCGTTGCCAGTGCAATTCCCTGACAATTGTGGAAAGTCATGTGGATGCGGAACTTGCCAAAATCCAGACCAAATGTACGCCACAAGTTCTGCTATCCACTTCCAGGCACAAATCCAACGAGTCACACGAAGAACAAAGTCCAGCGGCGAAGCCAAGAAAAGCCAAAGTCCACCCGGGGGCGCCAAAATGTTCAGCTTACTATCTTGTGCATGGTGATCTCATTGAAAGAGAGCACAGGAGAGCAAGCATAGAACTTACAGCTAGCAAACGTAGCATGTTAATTACAATTATGTACATATGTACAAGTATGTATATTCAACTCAACAATTCAATTACTTAAACTAAACTTCAATATTTCTTAGTGACTAATTAAATCTTGTTTTTATGCATACCAAATGACCATAAATGTCAGAACAAGACAAAGCAATTTGAGGATGGGGAAACGCAAAAGAATAAAAAAGTAGCTAAAAAGCAACGTGATTTGCGTAATATGTGTTGGTGTAGCGAGACTGGCCTAATATTTGTTATTGTTACTTGATGACGAACACAGTGCATGAGCATCAAATCGTTTCTTTTAGCACTGTCGCACTGCCATTCGTTTGGGGGAGGCAAAATTTGATCGTAATTCAGTTTTGTGTCCATGTATGGTATGACGCTGCCTTCCAAAAGGGACATATGTATGTATGTATGTGTGTATGTTTGTATGTGTGTATGTATGTATGTGTGTATGTATGTATGTATGTGTGTGTGTATGTATGTATGTATTATACATGGTGCATAAATATGATCATCGCTTGCTAATTGCATTTGTTTATGATTAGTGCAAGTCTTCATGAGCCCTGGTTGGTCAATTTACAGAACATCCGGTTCTGTCTATGCTAGTATTAGCATACATTCATGCATGCATATGTATATGTATGTATGTACATATGCTCGCTCGCTTCTCACAATTATGCTTATTGCTCACGGTTAACATTTTGATGAATTCCGAAAGTAATGACAAACCTCAAATCATACGCCCTTGCTCACTACACCAAGTACTTCTGATAAGGGCGGGCTCAACTCTTAAATCGTGTACCCACCGATTTACAAATGAGATCCAATATACATATATGTATATGTATAGTACATATTGTACGAGTATATTATTTATTTCACAATACCATCTCAGATATTCATACATACATATACACACAAGGCGAATATATAATAATATAATAAAGTATAATTATTATGAGTGTTGACACTTGTAACTTAGAATTAATCTACACTCACAAAATTTGATGCATATAAAAGTATATATAGATATAGCCAGAGCAACGAAGGCCTTCAGGCTAGAGTTTTATTTGATTGATTTAGCGGCGCTTTCGACGGGTTTTCTGTTTAAAAACTTTAAAAGCTGTTGTTGTCGGCTTCATTGATGGTGTGATCCGAGGCCGGACTCCGCCGAGCGTCGATTGCAGATTTTTTTTCCGTCATGACGAATCCAGCAATTTGAGTTTGTAAATACGTTCGCGAACGCGACACAGAGCAGTAACAAAATAACCAGAATTACAATGAGCAGACGCGCCATCATCCCAAATTGCGTAGAACGTCTATGGCAAGTGGCCGCTAAGGTTGTGACATAGTCGAGTTTTGACCACGAAGCAACGATACTTTCCGATTTTTTTTTTGCTAACGATGCATCGTCGATGCATCGATGTTTGCGCAAACATCGAACATTTTTCATGTTTTGTTGGACCGTCACATTTGTGTGGTTTACCGAAGAAGGTATATTTGTATTATAAATTATTTGATGTTTTCAATAAAATATATATAATATAATATTCACTTTAGTATATAATCGGTTTTTTTAAGTAAGCCATACAAGTTCATCAAAAGTGATGAACAACATTAAGTGAAATACTATGACAGTCTCTCTTGATATATAAAAATTTTTTATTTCAAACATCTTTGTTGTCGTTACGATGCCAAGTAGTTTTAAGAATGTATAAAAATAAGAAGTAGAAAGGAGGAAGAGATAAGTAGAGAGGGAGTAAGTGTGGAAGTTTGGAGGAAGACGCGCACTGGAGCGCTAGATAAGATATAGATCAAGCTGAAATAAAACACAAATTGTACACACGGGGAGCATTATATTTGAATGGTAACTGCGGGCTCACTTTATTTCTGGGGAACCAAACGAAGAATTTTGCAGCGACTCTGGCCGACGTCGCGTGAGCGACGACGGCGGAGAAGGCATCAGGCGCGCCGCAGAGTACGATGTGCGACATTGGTGACCACAGAACCAATTGCTCCATCGGCGGCTACGCTGACAGATGAGCAGGCTGCTCAGGCTGCCACGTTCCTTCAGGAGGAATTACCGCGCTTTGAGAACATTGTGGGCGGGTCATCGGTGGCGACACACACGATCCGCGTGAAAGTCGACAGGCCCATTAAACAGCGCTACTTGACGAGGTTGACGAGTTGCTGGCGAAGGGCTGCATTGAGCGGTCCGATAG